TTGGTGTGCTTAGCCCAATTACATTTAAAGTAATTATTTATAAGGGGGCACTTGAGTGGCTCAGTCAGTTAAGCATCTGACTGGCTTGGGTCAGGATCCCAGGGTCCTGGGATCAAGCCGCACTTCAGGCCTTCTACTCAGTGGAGGAGAGCCTACTTCTCCCTCTCCTTCTGCCTGCCACTCCCTCTGCTTGTGCTCTCTCTCTCTGTCCAATAAATAAATAAAATCTTTTTTAAAAATAAAAAATAAAGTACCCATAGAATTGGTTTAAGTCTACCATCTAATTTGCTTTTCATTTGTCCTATCAATACTTCCTTCTTTTTCTTTTACTGCACTCTTTTGGATTGAGTTCTTTATCACATTTCCTTGCTTTTAATATTCCCCTTTACCTCTTCTATTGGCTGTATAGCTATAACTAATTGGGGTATGTTTGTGTATGTGTGTAATGTAAATTAAAAGACCATTGCAGAAATAAAGGCATTTGAGAGCAGAGATTTTTAAAGAGCTAAACCACTCTGCATAACAATGCAAAGGATTGCATTGTTGGCAGAGTTGGTTCACTTGGACTTTTTGAGAAATGTTGGGCTTTTAGGTGTTAAGCTATGATGTGCCTGCAAAATGTTACTCATTCTGATGGAAATATGTTTTCCCTTGAACCACTGTTGAGTACTACATTGCAGCTGGGCTTAGTGAACCTGAATTTTCACTTTATAATGTACATAAATATGTACAAAAGAACTAGGCAATGCTGGATCAAGTGAACCTAGGCTGGACTATTGTTCTTTTTTTTTTTTTTTTGGACTACTGTTCTTTCAGGTATTATTAAGACTAAATATATAAGACTTTAGGAACCATAATGATACTGGATTATTATATATGAAGAGAATGTTCTATTTGTGTTCCCAAGACAAATATTCCTAGTTGGTAAGGAGTGAGATCTCCCCATAAATCAGTGAATAATCTTACTTTCAATCATCCTGAAAACAAGCAGATCATGGGACAGACAACCAGAGAGGTGAATATTTTCCTCCCTGCAGGCCACACTTTCTTAGACCCTGACTTCAAGCAGTGGTATGGAGCATGCCTGAGTGCATGTCTAAGAGGTAAAATTTTGAAAAAGTTAACATTTTTAACAGAATGCTAGACACATAACTACAAAGGAAAAAATAACTTGTTGATTAACATCTCCTTCAATCTGAGGATAATAAAAACAATAGCTAATATTTATATTATATTTAGGGTATTATAAGTAATTATAGTTATGGTATATATAGTACATTATAGAAATTATAGTATAATCATATTATACTAATAGTATATTATACTTGATATTATACCAAGCCCTTGCTTTTAATATTATACTAAGCATTCAGTTAAATGCTTAATCATTTATTGTTAACAACAAACTCATAAGGTAAATTTTATTATCTCATTATCTGTAAGTTACAGCCATTGTATCTAGCATCCTGCTCCGCTGAATTAAAAGAATGTATTTATGTCCATGTTTGGACCACTGTGGTAATGGAGCACAGAATTCTTCCCCTTGAAGGGACCTCCTAATCCTCAGAAAAACATGATTGTAGCAACTGATCTCAAAACAACAAAAAGTGATTAGTAGCCAATACAGGAATTCTGAGCAAAAAAGGATTCATATTTGGAACCATATAATCCAGAAGACAACTAAAGGTATAGATTGCATGCTGACTCCAGAGTATCCATGAGATAAACTCTTCTTCAACTTCAGAATAAACCACTAGAGAGAAAGGAACTTTGCAAGGCATGGGGAAGGAAAAGTTCCTGCTATTTGGAAGGTGGGTAGATGAGGTCTCTAGCAAGCTGATAATAAGTGGCCATCACTGTAAATAATCTATGTCTCTTACTGGTAAATTGAATAATCTGCCTGGCAAACCGCCATGAAAATCAATGTTCTAGGTGTGATAATTAACAGAATATACTTGACTATTGTTTTTACTGATTTCGTAGCCATGCCCAAATGTAGGATTAGAGACACAATACTGTGCCCTGGCAGAAGCACAAGCCTTGTTGTCCAGAGACCTGGAGTTTCTTCATCTCTTGCCTTTAATTCCGTGACTCTGTGCAAATCATTTTAATTGCTCTAGGAGTCTTCTTTCTCATCTATAAAATGAAGTTCACCTGTTTTACAAAACAGCCCTTCCGGTTACAGGGTTTCTCCCTAATTCTGCTTAACTAATAGCAGATCATTCAACTGATTGTTTACAAACTTTTAAAGCTACATTACAATGAAGATAAGATTCTTGATGTCAAATTTGGTGAAAAATTGCATGATAAAGTCCAGTAACCTCTTATGCTTCATAACTTAATATATTTCTGGAAAAACATTAAATAGCTCAACTCATTAGAATCCATCAACATTTAAATCCTCATCACTTTCTAAATGTCTGCATTTACCATCAAATTTAATTAAGCTCACTATCAATTAATCCTTCCTGCTGATAGGCCAGATTAAAAAAATTTTGTGGGATCCCTGGGTGGCGCAGCGGTTTGGCGCCTGCCTTTGGGCCAGGGCGCGATCCTGGAGACCCGGGATCGAGTCCCACATAGGGCTCCCGGTGCATGGAGCCTGCTTCTCCCTCTGCCTGTGTCTCTGCCTCTCTCTCTCTGTGTGACTATCATAAATTAAAAAAAAAAAAAAATTCTGATTATTTTAAAAATTTGAGAAAACACAAAGAAAAAAATTCCCCCAAATCCACATTCTTTTTTTTTTTCTTCACATTCTTGATATAACTATGATTGTTATTTACCAAATAGCTCTTATTTTCCCCTAGGAATATATGTAAGAAAGAATGTCTATGTATTTAAGAATGTATATGCTTTGTTTTAAACATGATTTGGAACACACATTATATATAATTTTCTATCCTAATTTCTTTCATACATTATTCTGCAGCATTTTGCCATGCTATTAGTTTTTTTCAAAATAGATTTCAAATGGTTATATAATAAGACCAAACCAGCAAATTTAACCATCCTTCAATTATTGAACATTAAGTTTGCTTCTGGCTCTTGACATATTTCCAAACGATTTTTCAGAATGAGTTTCACTATCCCCAGTTCAGGAGAATACTATTTCACTGTCTACTTGCAAAAACTGAAAATTTCATTTGTAAATTTTGGTCAACCTGACAAACAACAACTTTTCTTTGTGTTTGATTTGCATTGTTTTGATTAGTGAGGTCAAGTTTTAAATGTTTTAATCATTTGTACTGATTCTGAGGATCGTTCATATCCTCAACAGAGTTCAGATCTACTTTTTTTTTTTTTAAGATTTATTTATTCATGATGGAGAGAGAGAGAGAGAGGCAGGCAGAGACACAGGCAGAGGGAGAAGCAGGCTCCATGCCAGGAGCCCGACGCAGAACTCGATCCTGGGACTCCAGGACCACGCCCTGGACCAAGGGCAGGCACTAAACCGCTGAGCCACCCAGGGATCCCCCCAGATCTACTTTTAATAGAAGCTTATACGAATGCCTAAAGCAAAAAGTATCCATCAAGTGTCCATAGTTGCATTAATTGTGGTGTCACAAATGCAATTGTGAAAAATAATAGAGAAATCACCACATATATCCTTTACCCAGTTTTCCTCAATGGTAATATCTTGCAAAACTGTAACGTAATATCACAAATAGAAAACTGACATTGACACAGCCAGGACACTGGTTTTCCATCACAAGGATCCATTCCCTCCTCGGAACCCCTGGCAACCACATAAGCTGTTCTCTGTTCCCATAATTTTGTCATTTATAGAATGTTATATAAATGGAATTATACAATATGCAAGCTTTTGAGACTGGCTTTTCAATTCCATATAAACTGCAGATTCATTTAATTTGCGTGTATCCATTTAATATAGCATGTTCCTTTTTCTTGCTGAGTAGTATTCCACAGCTTTCTTTAGAGCTTTATAGTTGAAGTTTTAAAGATTATTTCACAAATATATTTGCTTGATTTTAGGGGCTGAAAGAGGGATAGAGAAAATGAGTGGGCAATATCAGACAGGAAGATAAACCATGAGAGACTCCTAACTCTGGGAAGCGAACAAGGGGCAGTGGAAAGGGAGGCGGGCAGGGGGATGGGGTGACTGGGTGACCGGCACTGAGGGGGGCACTTGACCGGATGAGCACTGAGTGATATGCTATACGTTGGCAAATCGAACTCCAATAAAAAAATACAAAAAAAAGAAAAAGAAAAGAAAAGAAAATATAGTTGCTATTGTGGGAGTCATTTAGTCATTCCACTAACAATCACTGGCTGCAGCCTACTGGGCCAAATACATACTTACGCACTTAATTACAAAAACGACTAAGACCCGAATAAGGTCAAAATTATTGAGGTAGCAGTCCTAAAATCGAAACCCAGGTCGGCCTGGATTTCAGGAAACAAGTAAATGAATAGCTCAAAGAACATTTTTTTTTCATCAATAACAATTTTCTAAAATGTAACAATTTTCATAGGGTAAATGAATGCAGGCTTAAAAATAGGTTTTTTTTTTAAGGCATTTTTATCCAAAGGACGAGGTTTTTATTAAACCACGCCTTATACCCGATTTCCCCACCCCTAAATTCGATTGTAAGGCCAACCACCACGTCTCTCTCCACCTACTAGAGTTCCCGGCCGCACGCTTGGGTCCTCAACGCGGGTGCCCCTGAGAAACCCGGGCCCTCTTACTGCTTCTGGACAACCCCCCACCCCGAAATTATTTGAAGATTTGATTTTAAACATAACAAAAAGAGGCCAGTAGGTCGCCATTAAAAAGTCTCTCTAAAATATTCAACAGTACGGAGGGAGAAAAGCAAACTAGAGACCAGACGAGAAAGAAATTCTCGGTGGGTCCAAAACGTCAATCAGCCCCCGGACTGCCACTCACGGTGCCGTGTTAACAAGACCCGGGCACACGCCCCACGGAGAAGCGCCCGTCCTCACACCCGACGACTCCTGGCCTTGGGCTCCAGGCGAGCTGCTCACAAGGCTTGGTGCAAAGTTCGAAGGCTGAGCCCTAACCGTCGCGACACAAAACGTTCAGGACCTAGAGGCGGGAAAAGCGAGGAGGAAGAGATTTCTAGTCAGGTCAAGGTCCAACGAAACAAAACACCCCCCACAAAACACCCCCCCACCCGGGAACTGAACCCGCCGCAGGGCCGGAGCCGCGGACACTGGCGCTTGGGGAAGTGACGTAAGCACCGGTGGCCGGAGGAGGCGGGGCCGCAGAGGGCGGGCGCCCTATTAGGGCCCGGGAGCGGCCGGGGGTGTGGCAGCGTCGGCCGCGAGGCGCCGGCCCGGGCGCGCGGGAGGGCGGGGCCTGAGCGCGCCGGTCGCGCGGACTGGCTTCCCTCCGCGGCTGGAGGCGGTCCCTTGTGCTAGGCTGGGGTCCCGAGGCGGGCAGGGGGCCATGCGGACGGCCGGGGAGTCCAAAGCCCTGAGCCTGACACTCCTCCGTCGAGCGGCGGCGGCTTGGTGGCCGCTGGAGTAGCCGCTGCCTTTGTTCCGAGCGCCCAGCCCTCCCGTCACCCCGGCCCCTCACGCCGCCGCGCTCCGGCTGGCCCGCCCTTGGTCCCCGAAGCCTCATTCGGCCCGTGCCGCGCGGATGCGGCTGCCGGGCCTGAGTGCGGGCTTTGAGCGGGAGGAGGAGCAGCAGCGGCGGCGCCTGGGCGGCATGCGATGGGGAACTGCTGCTGGACGCAGTGCTTCGGGCTCCTCCGCAAGGAAGCGGGGCGGCTGCAACGTGTAGGAGGCGGTGGAGGGTAAGCCCGCTGGGGGGAAGGGCCGGGCTCCAGCCAGCAGGGGGCTCCCGTTCGGCCCCCTGCGGGGAACGCCGTTCACTGCCTCGGCTGCAACCGCTTGGCGTAGGCCGGGAGCCCCTCTGCCCTCGCGACTTGCCGGGCGTCGAGCAGGTGGTCGGAGGGGAGGCCCTGAGCCAGAGGGGCCGCCCAGGGCAAGAGCGGGAGAAGGCGGCGGGTGTCGCTCTTGCCGCCGCCAGCGAGGCTCCCTCGGGTCGCGCGGTCACACGGGGTAGAGCCCTGAAGGGCATCATCTCCGGGAAGCCCGAGGCCCCTTCTCACGAAGGGGCAGTGGGACCGGCAGCACAACGACCCGGACACACCCTGCGTCGCGCTGGGGCTTGATGCCAGAGGTGGCAGCTCCGTATTTGATCCTCCCTTTGGCTCTGACAGAGCCACTGAGAACCTGGCCCCAGAAAGTTAGGTACCACAGAGGGAATTTGAGTAACAAAAGTCATCTGGATGCTGTAGTACAGTAAGGTTCGGGACACTGAGTTAACTCTTTGACGTGGACGAAGACTTGACGAATTGCAAGGTTTCCAGTGGGCAGTCGCATTCTTGGTACTGATAACCAGAGAAGCAGGGCGTAGCTTTTCCGTATTAGGTTTTTGGGTTTTTTGTTTGTTTGTTTGTTTTTTGTTATTTCCAGAGAAATGCTGTGCTGTGATGGCTACCCATAAGCTCTGTAATAATAGAGACGTAAAATTAATAATAATAATAATAATAATAATAATAGAGGAGTAAGTCTTTCTGAACCTTACTTCGCTTGATTAAAACTGGCATGTGTAAAACTGACCTGCATAGGTTTCTCTACCCACAGCATCCATAGGATAATAGAATTTCATGATATTCCGGGTTTTGTGGGGTTTGTTTGTTTGTTTCTTAGGGTATTGAAAAAAATTAGAACAGATTCCTTTGAAGCTGGCTTTGTTGTTGTGAAATGTTTCCCAGAAATTCAGACTTTGAATCAAAAACCGGAAGCAAACCGCTTTATGTGAGGAGTAAGACTTTTTTGCACTTTATGGAACAGATTGCCGAGTTTTCAGGATCTGTCTCATTTTAAACCACGTTAATAGGCAATAAGGCGTTCTGAATACACAAAGTGAAGCTACACGATTTATAATTTGGATCTTACATGTGATTCACTGATTTTAGTTCATTGATTGCGTTCATGGAGTCACCTCTCTGATACAAAGTAGCCAAGATTATAGACTAAGTATCCCTGAATGGAAAAATAAGGAGTTAAAAATTTTGTGCCTGGTTTAATATTTTGATTTCCCTGACTTGAGAGCTATTATTGTCAAAGGGGAACATGACAGCTGTTTTTATCATGTCAGAGAATCGTCTAATTTATTTCTGATTTTTGTGTGCAGGTGTACCTGTGTAGTCAAGCGTGCATAAATTTGTTTGCCTAAGGACTAAATACCACAAAGTCTCTGGCTTTGTTAAGATTTTATTTGTAGTTCTGTTGTAGCGTGTTAAATCCCAATTGTAGAAATGGGGTCTTACACTCTAATTGGGTAAGCAAAAATCGTTTGTATTTGATTTTGAACTACAGTGTGGTATCTGGGATTTTTGTTTTGTTCTTTCATTGTGATTTTACAAACTAATTATGTTTTCCTTAGAGGGTAGTGTTAAAATTGTGGATTTTACTCCCTGAGCAGGTGAGCTTGGCAGCATAGGGAAGGGGCTGAGAGAAATCAGTGGATTAGTGTGTTAATTGTCTGTAGATATGTCAAAAACACAATAGTTGGATCTCTATTCTTTTGTTATGGACAAAATGTAAACAAACCAACCTTGTTGAAACAATGAACATCTGGGGGTGTGGACACTGTCATCTAAAACCATATTTTGGTGATATTGGTACTGTTTGTTTCAGTTCATAAACAGAAGTTTAGGCAGTTCACTTACTTGAATATTCTGAATAACTTACTGTTTTACATTAATTTTCACATTATTTTAAGAGCCTCCAGTAAGCATGCAAGGACAGGTAGATATAGTTAATTTTTATTTACAGAATAAAGTTAAACTTTGCCTCTCTGCCTCTCATTTTAGTTGTTTTTCTGTTTTCTTAATCACCTGGTAATTCGGATTTTCTTTTAGGTTTAGGTCTAAACAGTTAAGTAGTCGTTCGTCTAAGGGCAGAAAATTTAGGGATGATCACAAAGACTTCATCTGATTTATATTTGTCACTGTAATGGCCACAGGTAGAATAATCCTGGGCTTTCTTAGACTGTTTTAAGCTGGACATCACAAGAATGATGAATCTATGAATCTATGATCTAGAGCCTTAGCCTGATAGATTTCTCGAGGGCATCTCAAAAGTCAGATCACTCAGTTTTCACTATCCAGTTTCAAAACCAGAATTACTAATGTTTTAGTTTATAAGGTATTAGAGAATTCTGGGTTTTACATTCTAGAATATCTGTCACTAGTCATATTAATATGAGAATAGAGATATGTCAGGAACCTTGCTACTAATAAAATTATTTGGTGATTAAAGCAAAGAGAGTTAAATATCTTTAAGGAATAAAATTTAGAAGTCCTAATGAGTCATCCTTTTTCACTATAGGGAGTTTTGTTTACCAACACATTTTTAGAGGGCTCCACCTGCTGGTCGGTTCTTAGGTAGTATAGAAATCTTTTGTATAGATATTTTTGGTGTTAGTTTTTTCTCAAACTGAAGACTCATTTATGTTTTGTTGTGTTGTATTTTAATTATCATTTTTATCTTGCCGTATAATTCCACACAGTGGTTCCAGTTAAGATGTGCTATAGTTTTATATAAAAGTATGGTCATGTGTTTTATCCTTGATATATAACATTTGTTGGCTTTTAGGCTCCTGCGGCAACTTGCCTTCAGACAAAGTTTACAGTGATTTTTCATTTTCTTTCCTGGTTAAAAAAAAAAAATATATATATATATATATATATATATATATATATATATATATATATATATATTAGTAATAGCTGCCAGCATTCAGTTACTTCCTATGCAGGCTCTGTTATAGGTACTTTACGTTATCTCCTTTATTCCTCACCACAATCCTGTGAGGAAGATAAGTACTATTATATACATTACAGATTGAAAACTGAAGCGTGGAAAGTTTAACTTCCTCAGGATAGCTGAACTGGGATTGAGCTCTGAATTCAGAGCCTTTATCCTTAAACACTAATAGCTCATGGCTTTTTATTTTGTAGGTAATATATGCATACATCTGAAAAACTTGACAATTCTGTGGGATAAAACTATTCTTTTCTTGAAACTATGGACTTGACCTCTGCCACATCATTTTTAGTATTTTCCTGTGTCTGTCCTGACCTTACTCCGTTTGCCTATTGAATACGAAATTATTCTTTGTCTCTTCTTTGCTTTAGTTAGTTCCCTTCACACATATACCCACCCCTGAAGAAATCTCATCCATTCCTATGATTTCAACCACCACAACTTCCAAATATGACGTTCTCTGAACAGATCTCTTTTCAAAGGTTCAATACCATATATTCAGTTGCCTACTGAAGGGATACACTAGGATATATGAAGCCTCCTCAGATTGGCCTATCTCAAATATCTGATATCTGTGTTCCAACAAATATCTAGAATAGATAGTTCTTTCCCTCAAAATTTCTTTTTCCTATGTTCTGTGTATTCTCTCATTCCCTTAACAGTTACATTTATGGTTTTCCAAGCTACAAACTCAACTTCATAGTCCTCTACCTCTTTCTCATCAACTAAGTTAGTCTCTCCTTAATACATACTGAAGCCATCCATTTCCTTTGTTGGTACTTGTGTCTTAAACTTTGTCTTTCAAGTCAAATCTCCCCTTCTTGGGATCCCTGGGTGGCGCAGCGGTTTGGCGCCTGCCTTTGGCCCAGGGCGCGATCCTGGAGACCCGGGATCGAATCCCACGTCGGGCTCCCGGCGCATGGAGCCTGCTTCTCCCTCTGCCTGTGTCTCTTCCTCTCTCTCTCTCTCTCTGTGACTATCATAAATTAAAAAAAAAAAAAATTCTCCCCTTCTTCTCGACTGTGCTTCCCTCTTGTATCTCTCATACTTCAGTCCCATCTTCCCTTCCTGTTATTGAAGCTAGGCTTTCTAAAACCCATACTAGATCATACCATGCCCTTACTTAACCACATTCTCTGTGTCCTTTTTCCTATAGCTAACTTGCTCAGGCTTTTTCCCTTCTATGACAGATGATGAGTTGCATGGCATTCAGATGTGTGACATAATATCCATTTGTATGCTCAGGATTTTATGCAGTTTCCTTGTTTGGGGATAAAGAGTGTAAGCTCACTCTTTGTTCTCCAATTCAGAAAATAATGTCAGAATACAAATCAGTGAGAATAACATTAAAAGGAAAACAATTAATCTATTCTAATTTCAAAAAACTAAAACTCATTCATAAACCTTCATATCTTAACTTTTTTGATAAATGATAACCTTCCATTCATTGAGAGTAATATCAAATTTAAACTCCTGACAAGGGTGCGTGTGTTGCTTAGTGCATATGTGTTTGAGACTTGATTTTGGCTCAGGTCGTGTTCTCAGGGTTGTGGGATCAAGCCCCATCAGATTATCTCTTCCTCTCAATTTATCCCTCCTATCCACAGCATGTGTGCTCTCTCACTCTCAATAAATAAACAAACCAACTCCCAACCAGATAACCTAATCTTAGTCTATTATACCAGCCTAATTGTGTTTTCTAATGATATTTTTCCTAGAATATACCGTTAAAATTGTAGATTTTACTTCTACTCACATGAGCTTGGCAGCATAGGCAGGGAAAATCAGTGAAAGTATTCTCTGCCATTCTTTCACTTGCCACATCCCCAGTATACTATATACTAGGTAGACCGTATGCATTCTTGTTTTCCTGAAATACAGTGTTTTCTCATCCTTGCCTTTGTGTGCAATATTTCTTCCTTTCCTGTTGTTGGTGAGCTTTTACTTATCCTTA